CCCGCCAGTTGGTCAGTTGGTCAGCAAGAAACGCGTCGACCTATTGCCAGGAAGACGAAGAGCTCCTGAAGACGGAGTCCCAGCTCTCGGCGCCCTCCGCGGCCTCTCCCAGCCTCGGCCCGGAAGCTTCGCCGACTCCGGCGGAGTTCGAGCCGCCGGCGCAGCAGCTCGGACGTGCGGGGGTCGGGGAGAATTCGGAGTTCGGCCGGAGATGCTGGGGAAAACCAAAACCCCCCCCCCCCCTCCCCGCCCCACAGGAAGAACTAGCAACCAACCCCCCCCCCCCCAAGAAAAAAAGCCCCCCCCCCCCCAAAAAGCAACAACAACATGGAGTAATAATGACCCCCCTTTCAGGCGCCAAATGAAGAACTACCAAACTCCTTCCCAATCCCCTCCCCCCAACAAAGGCTGTGAAATGCTCCCATAATAATTAGCCCACAATTGCCCCAAGGAAGGTGTGGCTAAACCATCTGACCGCCGTTGTGGTTGTGGAATGGGCTCTTTGCTTTTTTGGTACCTGGTGCTTCCCAGGGTGAAAGTAGACGCAAACTAATTCCCTTTGTGTAAGAGGGGGGCGATTAGAAGGTGGGATTTGTGCTAAGCGGGGAAGCCTCAGCTTAGGCCCTATGCAAATCCCAGGTGCAAGGGCAGCAACTCAAAGTCTCACTGCCTTAGCTAGGCTAGAAGCTCCCGCAAGAGCAGGAACTCAGTTCTCCAGAAGCGACTTGAACTGACCTTTTGGTTTTCCAACCTTCCATTTGTCAAGTTGTCCTTTTATTTCCAGGTCCTTTGGGCATCTGAGAACCCCTTGCAGTAGGTGGTTCTACTCTTAGGTTTAGAGGGGAGTGTAGCAAGGCATGGTAAAACCAACCGTCACTGGGTGAAACGGGCGACGCTCAGTCAGGGGAAAATGCCGGAAATGTTCGAGCAAGCCTGTTCTCTTTGCGTACTGACCCCTGTCCGCCGGAGTCCCTTATTCAAAGGAGACACCTGATGAGTGGTGAAACATGTGGTTTGATGTTTGATGCAACCATGGGGGCTCCGGACAAATGGCTTACCAAGCCTTACTCAGAAGGCTATCTGGCCAACCAGCCCCCTTCTACACCGCCCCAGCTGTGCGGGCACTCGCTTCATGCGTAGCGCAAGCCTGGCCCGGCCGGAGCCCCCGATCAATGTTCGGAGGAAGTACAAGCTGCCGCCGGAGGAGCACGAACTGCAGCAAGCCATGTCCACCCGGCAGGTGCCCTCGCGATTGAACGTTCGGCTTCCCCTCAATGTGTGTGTGTGTGTGTGTGTGTGTGTGTGTGACTGTTTGTGTGCTTTGTTATTTTGAGGGTCTTTTTTTGGTTTCGAGGGTCCACTTTTCACGAAAGCTAGCTTTAGCTAGCTGAAGTTTCTCCTTGCGTAAGCAAGGTAAGGGGCTCAAATGCCGAAAGATTGATTTTTTCAATTATTTGAGCCGAAAAGATTGAAAAACATCAATTATTTAGACCCCCCCCCCCCTCCCCCCCCCCTCAGGCTCGATTCCTCCCTGGTCCATCCCCCCCCCCCCGGGCAGTGGCTCAGTGTTCAGCAGTCTCGGTTTGCCCGTTTTGGACTTGGTGCTACGAACTTTTACGTGTTCCACCGATTCAGCTTGTTCACTTGAGACCTCAGTCTTCTCGGTAAACCACCTCGCAAGAATCTTTGCACACGCTGCATGCAGAACCCAGAGGTGCTTTAAAACAGCTTCTGACGCCTCTCGTTGTTTTCATTTTTCAAGGTTTGCCACGCCACCATGTGCGTTTGTCGCATCCTACGAATCTTGCCGGGCCTCTCGTTGTACACAAGCTACCTATAAGCTACCTATGAATCCACGCTGTCACCGACCCATCTCATGCAACAACTGCTAGCTTTCGTTCACCCGCTCCTCAAGTTTGTTATTTCAAAGAAAACCAAGAGGAAAACCACCGTTTGTGACTCTGTGTGTGAGTGTGTCTTCGTTTGTTGGGGGTACGACACGTTTGTCGTCAGGAAAACCACCATGGTGTGGTCCCCTAAACAAGACCCCCCTATGTTCCCCTCTTTTTTGATTTATTGGATTCAATCGAATCCGCCTCCAAGCTCCTGCCCCAGTTTCCTACGGCCGTAAGGCAAGAACGCGTCTCTGTCGCTAAGAGTAACCGGCAACCACCCGCAATGAACTTGCGGAGTTTGATCCGTGGCTCAACTCGAGCTCGGCTCAGTTCCGCACTGATTTCCTTTATTTCAGAATTTCAGGCGTGTGAATTGTTGTGTTTTTCCAGAACACTGCTTCCCTGCGTGCCATTTGGGCTTGGTTTGGTTAATCACCTGCGAGCGTGTTTTTCGAGGCTCCTTACCGTTTTCACCTAACGGAAACCAAAAGCGGAAATCCGCTTGTTGGGTCCATATCTTTTGTTTTTTTTGACACAAAGCCTTTCTTTTCTCCGTCCCCAAAGGCTTTCCAGTTTTGTATCAGGTCCGAGGTCAGCCATCGACAGGGGTCTCTGCATTCCTCTTTTTAAAGCATCACCTTTTTGTCCTCACTTGTTTTTCTTCTTGAAAGGTGGGTGTCCCTTATGGGCTGATTTGGCGATCCTTTCTTTTCGGCGAGTTTCCCAGAACGGGGTAACCCAGTTTGCTTCGAAAAGTGGAAGCCGCCTCGGGAGCTCGGACCGAAGGGCTTCTTCGCGAGATCCGTTGGGATCGCTGATCGCGAGGTGCTGTGCATCGACGACCCGATGGAGCTGGGCCGATCCCTGGGCTGTTCCTTCCAGGGCTTCGAGCGGCTCTGCTTCGAGTGGCGCCGTGCCTTTCAGCTGCTGCCCCTCGCATGGCGACGCGGGAGGGGAGATCGGACGGACGGGATGGGGCGGGAGGGGAGGGCCTGGACGGGCGTGAGCGTTCGCACTGTGGGCGGTTGTGGTGTTTTGCTGAGCGGTTGATTGGTTGGGCTTCGTGTGTTTGATTTGTTGTTTTGTCTACTTGCCGTGTTTTGTTGTTGTTTTGTTTATGTGTTGAGTGTTCTGTGTTGTGTGGTGTGTGTTGTGTTTTGTGCGTTGTCTGTTGTGTGTTGTCTTGCTTGCTTGCTTGCTTGCTTGCTTGCTTGCTTGCTTGGTTGCTTGGTTGCTTGGTTGCTTGGTTGCTTGGTTGCTTGGTTGCTTGGTTGCTTGGTTGCTTGGTTGTCTGGTTGTCAGGTGGTCTGTGTGTTTCTTTGTTTGTTTGTTTGTTTGTTTGTTTGTTCGTTTGTTTGTTTGTTTGTTTGTTTGTTTGTTTGCTTCTTTTGCTTGGTCTTGTGTTGGGTATGTGTTTAGTTTGATATGTTTTGACATGTCTGTTTGTGTGTGTGTAAGTTTGCTTGCTTGCTTGCTTGCTTGCTTGCTTGCTTGCTTGCTTGCTTGCTTGCTTGCTTGCTTGCTTGCTTGCTTGCTGGTGTGGATGTTTAGGGCGGATACATATGGAGGCAACGATCCAACAAGCCCCAAGGGTCACCCTGCCCTGTGTCCACTTTCACCCAGTCCAAGCTCAACGGCCCGCCCCATGTCGGGAGCATCCAGAGGTCGGTGGTGAGGACGCTGGAGGAGGTGCGCGAGGTCTTTCACGCCTCCTCCCTGGGGTCCAAGGGCATCTACAACTTGGCACCTCGGATGCGGAGCCAAAGTCATTTCCAAAGTCAATCCTCCTGGCTTGCTGAAAGGGGGAGGTTTCTGGGTGTTATTCATATCAAGTGGAATCCAAGTAGATCTTGGTCCCAGACATGTGGCTTGCTTCCTGGTTTCGGATTCCTTTTTGGATCCCTTCATCGAGAAAAAAAGAAGGAAGCAAATCTCTGCCCTCTGTGGGTCTGTGAGCTGCCACAAATGGCCCGGCCCTTGGGCTCAGGGTGAATATCGCAAGCTGATTTGGATCATCCCCTGTGGGCGGTTCTCACAACAAGGGCTTGGAATGCGATTTTGGTGTGGCTTCACTTTAAATGCCAACTACAAGCGATCCACAGTTTCAGAACTCCCTTGTCAGTCTGGTGCTGTGTGCATGTATTTGGTGGGGAACGTTGGCCAATGGCTTGGTGACCAGACACTGAGTGGAGGTCCCACACAGGGGGAGATAAACAACGCCTTGGCCGGGTTTGGAGCAATTTCCCCAGAGAAAATGCAGAAAACCTCTACAAGCAGGCCCGACCTTTCTCTGGCCGTTCTCACCAGGAAAGCACCATTTTTGGCTGGTTCTTTGGTGTGACCCAATCGCCCCGGAGAGACAGTTTGGAAACAAAAGGTGTTTCCACACCAAAAGATGATCCACATGTTGCTCAACCCAAAAGAATTCAGGGACAGGTATCTCAAGAGACTCCCAGGGCCTATGAACTTCGAAGAAATGCGTGCCATGTCGCAGGAGAAGCACAGGAACTTCCCCTCACTGGTGGATGAGTTCCTTGAGAAGTCGAACAAGATACCCAGGTCGGCGAGCCGCAACTTGCTGGTTCTGAGTAGGGAATCAACGGGGGTTTGGGGAATGAACCTGGGTACAAGGATCATTCCCTTGCCGAACACCGATTCCCAGCGGCGATTTTAGTAGTACTATACCCGGCGTCATAAGGGTTATAGCAAGGCCCAAAGCAACCATTATAGCTATGTTGGTAGAACCAACAAATCAATGGGCTTTGGGTGCGGCTCAATTGAATCTCAGGCCAGCTTACTGTGATACCAATGGCCATAGGGCGGTCCACTGGTGTTGTTTGGCGTCACGAAAACACATAGACATACACAAACTGTTTCTTTTTCAGAATCACGCCCCTTTGCAGCTCCTACATGTGTGGCTCAGACCGGGGTACTTGATCATATTCTATGTTTATTTTGTTTAGGTGTTGTTATTTTGGGCTGCAAAAATAAAAGAATTGAGTTTCGGCTAACATACCATCCGCTGAAGGTGTGTCGGGTTGTTCGCGTGTTGACTTGAGATAGATATCACCATTGTCATGGCCCGCAAGCTTGTTGCCCCGTGAC